AAAGTAAGAAAAAAGAGAAAAAAAATCAATTAATATTCTATCAATTATGTATGTGTCTATTTTTCATTTTAAATTTCATGTAATACTTTATTTTTTTTATGAAAATTTTTATTATTCTTCAATTTTAAAAATAATAATTTATTAGTCTATTCTTTGAAATTGTTCGTTAAAATTGATATATTTTTTAAATCACAACAAACATAATATTTAAGATATAATTTGAAAGTTAAAGTTAAGTAAGAAATCATTTTATTCAATTGTTGATACTTGCGTTAATAATTCGTTCTTTCTTAACAACGTATAAATAATATTATCTTATATAAGAAATTATGTGTCATTTATATAGATAAATAAGAGAGATTAAAATTCACTTTAAAAATTAAAAGAGAGGTGTGTGCCATTTTAAAAATACTTTAAAGAAGATCGGTGTATATAATGATAGATATTTTTAGAAATATAATACAAAATCATTCACATGCATATGAAAAACATAAATTAGCGTGAATAATTAGTGTCATGCTTATTAATTAATATTAATATGTTTTTTTTAATATTTTTCTAAACTTTTATTTCTACGAAAATTGAACTCGATATCAAAATGATTAATAACATTTAACACACCATTCAATTTACCGAGTTGGATATTTTTGATATATTAAAAAATATAATTATCAAAAGATATATATTAATAGGAAGAAATTGTGAACCCTCTCTCACCTCTTTGCTGGTTTTGAAATTGAAATTGTTTCACTCTCTTCTTCTTTCCTGTGCTTTCTAAACTCCCTCTTATTGTTCTTGGTTGCAGGTTCGATAATGACAGAATTAAAGAGTTGACTTGACCAAAAATAATTATAAAGTGACAAATCCTTTCCATTAATACAAATGTATAAACACATTTGTGATGGCTTTCATTGCAAAGAATTTAAGGCCATGTATTGCTTGATCGTCCCTTAAATAGCCATAAACATGGACCTTTTATCGATGCTAACTTGTATTTTATACGGATGATATTAGAATCCTTACAACTAAATGATATATTTTGTACATTATCCACATTTCAAGTCCTTGAGCCAGAGAAATATTAAAATATTCAGTTTATGAAAGAAAATATTCTATAAAATTTATTAAGTAAGTCTATCTATATTCGGTTTAAAACAAGTAATTTAGCTGAAATTAAGAAATTCACAAAGGATTAAATTAATATATTATGACTCAAACTATAAGTATTTAGGATAAAAAAATTAATGTTTATTATTTATATTCGAACTTTATATATTATTTAACAAAAAATAATAAACCAATTATATTTGTGAAGATTAGGATTGCATGGGAGTTTAAGTCAAGGCATTGATTTGTTGAATAATTGACCTTTATAGTAATTTTAAAATCAAAATGAAGAAGAAAAAATCTACAATAATAGAATATACACTTGCCCTGCTTTTGGCTTATTCTCAATAAATTGACGATTGGGAAATCCAGTATCTTTATGTATGGATCATGCCCTACCTTTACATGTCACAGTTTCACGGGGCTCTTAGTCTTATCCACTTCAATTTTAAATATCACACATATCATCTATCCATAAGTTTCATAAGCTTCATCATGATAGTGAATTCTTTCTACGATTATTAAACTATTTATTATTTTTTTTCTCAAATTTTATTGTTATATTAAAACAAAATTATTTCTAAATTATAAATACAAAATTTTATTTCAATCCAAAATAATTTATCATTCTCATAAAACAAAAATTTTATAAAATAAAATTAACGTAAAATTATAAATATTTTATTACTTTTGGATTATTGTTCAATTTTAATAAAATTTAATATAAATATACAAAATGATATAAAATTATCAGTTAACAATTATATCAACAAAAAATTTATTTAATATAAAAAATATTAAATAATATAATAATTAATAAGAGTTATACTAGTATTATTTGAACCCGCACATATAATATAAAAATTCACATTTTCATTGCATTTAATAATGCTTATGAATGATAAGAACGTATATTATTGCTCATAAATATCAATCAATTATTAAAATAATTACAAACTTTTACTTATATGAGATTAATAACAAATTGTACTTTTAATTAACGAGGGTTATTAAGTAAATTAAACTTTTACAAGGGAATATACTTTGTCAAATATAACTCCCATCAACTATTTTTATTTTGTCATATACTTTTACAAGGGAATATACTTTGTCATATACTTCTAAAAATATTTTTTTTTTTCTAAAAATTTTACTTAACAAAGAAGAAATTACCATAATTTTTTAATAGAATTTATCGTAAAATATAATTTTGTATTAGGAAAAAATATTTTACAAAAGTAATACAAATATAATTAATTTAGAGTTTAGGGTTTAGAGACTTATTTTGTAACATATTTTTGGGTAAAATATGTTTTTAATTTCTCCAAATATTTTTTGAAATGTTAATTTTATTTCTTATAAAACTTCAATACATTTTTAGTCTCTAAATTTATCGAAAAACACATTTTTAGTCCTCTAGGGGAAACTAAACCCCCCCTCCCCCCAACATATATATATATATATATATATATATTATAAATATAAAGATTAAAAACATATTAAATTTTTTATAGAAACTATAATTAGTATTCTAAAATATTTAAGTACTAAAACATATTTTATTTTAGTTTTCTATTTATAAATATTGAATTAAAAGAACTAGGTTTTTAATTATGAGTTTTTTAAGTTAAAAGAAATAATGTATACAGTGTACAAGTAGAATCCATTTAAGAAGCTAGCCTAAGACAGATATTGAATTAATGCCACTTAATGACGGTACACACACGTCTCCTTTAAAGAAAAATAGAGATATAGAATGAATAATTAATTAACATCTGTGACAAACCACAAAACGGACCCAATAAAAGACGTTTACCTTTGCAATCAATTTGTTACCCCAACATTAATGAAACCAGTGATCCAAGGGGAAAACACCCCTACAAACTCACTTGTACAGCACGTGAAAGAGAACGATCGACATTTTTATTGTCCAAATTAAATGTAATGTTTATATATAAACCTAGCTAATTAATATAGAAGCTCATGCAACCCTAAAAATTACTCTACCAATTAGTTTTGTTGATTGAATTTATTAGAAGAGAGGAAAGCATGGACACAATGTCACAATGTATGTAGGTTCAGAAGCAGAAAATGTAAACAGTGACGGTGATGCATGCATGTTTCAAGAATATCACAAGATGGCTTTTTCACTGGGGCTGTTTTAAAAATATTTTACGAAAATGGGACTATTTTGTAATTAATTACACCTTTGGGGTTGTTTACAACGGTGTCGCTATGGGCCATAACGACACCTATTACACGTGGCAATTTTTTTTTTGATTTAGGTTGGGCTGGAATGAGCCACATCAGTGTCGCTATAGGCTGGGGCAGCACACTTGATGGACTAACAAAAACAATGTAGCCCATAGCGAACTGTGTAAAAATAAAAAATAAAAAAACGAAGATAATAGTGACTGGGTGTCGCTATAGCCGGCTAATCGATACTAGTCGGAACGGCAAATGACCGAATCGTCTAGTCCGTATACGACAACATGTATACTTCCGGTATGTTCTATGTCGGAACGGTACCTGACCGAGCCGACACGATGAATGATGGTGGTCCATATTTGCATTAACTAGACTGATGTCGGTTCTCGGCCTCGTGCCGAGCCGACGTCGATGGTGATGCTTGTACGTGGCTATGCATGGGTGTCTGACGAAATGGCACGTGTTGGCCCACGTGACCGATACGGTCTCTCCGGTACATTATATGTCGTCAAAAATTGTTTATTATAATTATAAGAAGTGTACCTGTCTGAAGGGTATACTAGTAAACTTCTTGTACTTTGAAGACCGAACGAGAGTTCCAATTGAATATTCCGGTGAGAAGAAGGGTACCTGCAAAAGATACTCCGACGCTCAAGTCAAAACAGACACAAATATCGATAGTAATTGAATGAACAGTGACGTTACCTCAAGATGTGAATTATTTATACTGACATTAATGGGTCATGTGCCTGATGGACCCGTACTAGGGTTACCAAATTAGGTAATACGTTTGCAACTTACTTTATATCCGCGATTACCTGTTAATTCATGGTTGAGGCTGGTTAATGTGCTTATTAGTACTCCCTTTTCGATTTAAGGTGCGTTGGTGTCATATAGTGACGTTAAATATTCCTTAGATATCGAGGCCGCCGAACCGATTGGTCGAGAGCTTTGTCCAGCGCACTCGGGTGTCAAGGGTGCCGAGTCCGCACTTATGGGCCTAGGGCATTGTCCCGTACAAGAAGTAATTTCTCAAAATAATTAGAAATCTGAATTTTTAAAAACTTAAACAAAATAACGTGGAAAAGTGAAAGAAACAATATAGTTGTTATTCTGGGAAGTCTGAACTAGTTTTGCAGCGTTCGATTCAGATGAAAAAAACTTGGTGGTGAGTGGTGATGATCGTGAGCAATAAAAAATGCTCCAGTTATTGAGAACTGATCAGAGAGCTTTCCATATCATGGTCCTTTGTGAGAACTGAGAACAAGACAAAACATTTTCAAAGAAATAATTAATTAAGAACGATGAGGAAGATAACAAAAATACCAGTGGGACTTTGAATAATCAAAATCTCTAGTCAAATATCAGCCCTACTTTTTACTGCTTCAACTACTGTCTGAAAATTCACTCATTTCTTATTCTGCCATTTTTTTTTGGGGGATAATTTTTATTTTTCCAAAAGTACTTGCATTATAAAAAGAAAATATTATGGGGTTTTACTATTGATATTGTTGCTTATTTAAATTTAGCTCTATCTTTAGAGTGAAAAAGATGAATCATATTGTTCGTCTTTTTCTACATGTTGTTGTGTGTGTTCTATTTGGATTGTGCATAATAATTAATTAATATTGTGTTTGAGAATGTTACTTTTAATTTCAATAGCATTCTAGACTTGATAAATATTAAATCGTGTATATATTGTCATAGTCAAATTGAATAGTTTCTGAATGAATCATGCATTACTATTATTATAGTTTGTTTATCTTTATCGATCCCTATAATCTAGTACTGCAAACTTTTGCAAGAAACCTTAATAATGCTTTGCTCATAAAAACAAAAATGAATCGCAAATGATGAAACAAGCTGGAAATCTAAGAAGCCGCTCCACCAATAATGACTGAATGCCACATCAAGGCATGGGCAGTTTTTGGATTCTGGTAAGGGTCGAAAAAACATACGTGTATGTATAAATATCAAGATAATACCATATATACCACATATCACACTCCTGCTTATATAATATGCATTAATATGGACAAGCAATAAAAACTCATATTAGTGTAAACATCTATTTGATCACTTATAAATGTAATTTAGTTTTTTCTATAAACCTTACCCATTAGATGTCAGGTGATACACAATGTAAAAGAGCCATGATGGAGATCGAGATCTCACTTTATAAATTAATTTTGTGATTGTGAGATTAGGTTAGAGTGTGATATATCTCTTTAAAAATTAATATTAAATTAAGGATGTTTGCAGCTATAGTGTGTGCCATCAAATTGATGATGTCGATTTGAAATTGTATGTGGGGATGTCCCACAAATCACGTGAAGGGGGCAACTCTAATGGCAATTGTACTGGACAAAGAATGGTCATTTACAATCTTCTCTAATCTCCTCCCAACCAATTATAATTTATCTCTCACGTGGGACTCTTGGTCCCACCACCACCCTCTCATCTTCACACCGTGTGCTAGATGCATATATAACATTATTTAATTAATCCTATCATTCAGCAGCATTTGATGATACCTAGTTTGTCATAGTTTACATCTTATGGGAGACTCTTCTAAATCTTCTTCTTCATCACCTTCTTCTCCTGCTTCATACATTCATATGGTATATATTATGTATAAAGCTTTAATTAGTTTTTATTATTATTGCTATTACAAGACCATGTTGATGGTGTTAACTAGTTTAATTTGTTTTGTACAAATTAAATATAGGTGCAGCATCTGATTGAGAAGTGTTTGATCTTTCACATGACCAAGGAAGAATGCATGGAAGCACTCTCTAAACATGCAAATATTAACCCTATTATAACATCCACTGGTATGATCGATCTTTACTTTCTATAAAGAGCTTAGAGCAAAGACCATGCACACATGCAAGATCACACTGTTCCTTGCTGGCGTAGAAAAAAAAAAACGATATATGCATATGATCATCAAGATAAATATATTTGAATAATATATACCAAGTCACCACTGAGATCTCGTACTAACTTTTGATTTACAAACCCTATTTTAATTTTTGAATTTGATCAATTGGAATTCTATCTATTGAAATTTACCCAACAAAGTCAGCTGCCAGCCTTCTTTGCTTGTGACTTGCTAGGAAAATCTAAAAGACAGACTAATATTTCGAGTCTTTGATTTCCCTTCCGTTGTTAGTAAAGTTGATTTTTTTTTTCCAAATGAAATTTTTATTGAGTTATAATCTGTTTAGCTTTATGATTTTCAATTCTTGCTTCAAATTCAAGGAAGAGAGAGTTTTTATTGCAAATGAAATCCTAATTAATGTTAAGTGACTTGCATGTTATATTAATATACAACTAATTCAAAATCCTTATAGTTTTGTTATAAACAACGAAAATTATGGGGAATTAACGACGAGGATTAAGATAAAGAAACCATCCAACTTGAATACATAACCTTTCAATGTATCGATACTAAATAGTATATTTCTTTTTCATGTTTATGCTATTAAACTATATTTAACAAGGCTTTTTATGTTGTGATGTTGTTGTATATGTTTCGAATTAGAAATAATGGGATATGGACATTTTACATAAAGATAATCATATTTCTTTCAAACCTTTGAAAATCTTATAAATTATTTAGTGTTAAACAAAGAAGATAAGATGGGATAATTTGCATCTAGCTAACTCGAAGGATTGAAGAAAAGAAATTGAAAATTTGAACTCGATGTTTTCTCGTTTTGGTTGGAAACAAAACATGAATGTATATATATTGTTGGTAATTCATATATCGGATACAAACCTTCCACCAACCAACAAAAACAGAAGCATGCACGTGCATATGTTGAGAAATTATATATATGATGATATGTTTATGGAGCATAAATATATGAACAGTGTGGAATGAGCTAGAGAAGGAGAACAAGGAATTCTTTGAGCCTTACATGAAGTCGAAGGGCAAAGACAACAGAATGTCTGAGGAGGAGACAAATGAGATGATAGAGAAGATGATAACAGAGTCAGATTCCTCTAACGATGATTGAAAACGATATGAGCTTAGCTAGGGTTTTGGGTTCTTTAGTCCTTCAAAGCCCCATGCAACCTAGGGCTCTCCCCACTCTATACTATCTCTAGCCACTGCTCACTGTACAACGCTATCGTAGGTGCTTTCATGCATGATATATATATATGTATGTGGGATTAAAACCACACGTCTAGTAAATACTTTAAAAATTAAATGCAGAATGATTCCTTATTTTAATAACATGTAAAAATCTGACGGTATATCAAATTAAACTCTAACCAAATATGTTATTATTTGAATAAAATAAATAAAATTGAAGATATATAATCGACTATGTTTTACAAATCATTCTTATCATTAATGAAATATGAAAATGCGCACTAGTTTATCGACCATTGATTTCACTGCAGTTAAACTGTATAATCAACTTAGTATGTTCAAAAATATTTTGAGAGTATATGTCTTTAATATATAAAAATATTAAATTAACGTAAAATTATAAGATTTTGAGTATTATGAAAATTTTAAACTAATATAAAAATGACCTTATATAAAAAATATTTAAAAAAATTCAAGATAAAAGATAAAATAATAATAATATATTTATAAAAATTTTGGCCTTTATTTGTTTAAAGAATCATTATTTGTCGAACAAAATCATTTAAAATAAACTTTCAACTGCATAAACTCTCACTACTAGAATTTCTCTTATTACATGCGATTTTTTCTGCGAATTTTTCATAAAAATTTGCAGGAAACATTGTTCTTGCGAAATTTTATCTGCAGGTAATACCTTCGTAGATAATATTTTTTTACGAATTTTAAAATTCACAAGAAATTTTCCTGTGAAATTTCTTGTGAAAAAAATTCACAGGAAAGTTTCCTGCAAAAAAAAAATTTATAGGAAAGTTTCCTGCAAAAAAAATTCGCAAGAAAGTTTCCTACGAATTTTTTCGCAAAAAATTTAACTTTCAAATGCTCACAATGAATTCATCCGAAGCATTTGTTTTCATGCCTCCAACATGTGATACATAATCTTTTAAATTCTAAGATGATGGTAGATTATAAGTCTAACACTCAACCATATAAATCAACTTGTAAGATAAGTGTTGTCCCAACTTATATACTCTTTAATTGCTTTATTTTCAATCGATGTGGGATTTGAAGTTTTTTTAAAATATTAAACTTATAAATTTAAATATATTTTTTTTTATTTTTCCTGCGGATTAAAATTTTGCAGGAAAATCCGCAGGAAAAGTTACTTGCAAAATTTTTCTACCATTTAATAAACTTTATTTTTACAAGAAAATCTGCAAGAAACAAAATCAAATTTTTACAATATTTTTTACAAATTTTTACCATAAAAAAAATTTCTATGATTATTAAAATTGTAGAAAAATTTGTAAGAAATATCTGTAAATTATTTTTCGCAAAAAAATTTTGTGAATATTTTTTTACAGGAAAATTCGCAAAAAATTTCTGCGAATATTTTTTTGCAAGAAAATTCACAAAAAATTTCTAAGAATATTTTTTTGCAGGAAAATTTACAAGAAAATGACACTTTTCTAGTAGTGTCTTCACTAACGAATGTAAGTTTCCCTCTTTCTGAGTGATGGAGACATTGAAGTTGATCTAGAGTCAAAATAATTACTTGGAGGGTCTATGACTAGAGCTAGGACTAAGAAGTTAGAGGAGTCTCTATAACAAGTGATTTACAACAATTTGTGAAGTTACACTTAAGAAAAAAAACTTAGAGGCCAAAATAATTCAAAATGTACTAATCATTGAAGGTCAATAGTGACTTAGACATTTTAAAAAATAAAATAAAAATAGTTATAATAAAGTATTTATGGCTGGTTTTTAGACCAAGACCTCAAGTTTCTTTAGGTCTCACTTAATCGCAAAGTTATTTTATTTAGCTTGTAATGGTGATAACGTATTTATCTTTTATTTATTTTTTTGTACGTGAGAACTATTTTGTATAAGTCATTTGGGTATGAATGAAATGACAGATTTGAATGTTTATTTTTCTGAAACGTGAGAATTGTCTCTGTTAGGGTTCTTCCTTGAACCATTTGATCTTATCAAGAATTCACTAAAATTCTTGTGGCATTCCTAAAGGCTTATCAAACGTCAATTGTTTGTGGAGCCTATCATCTTCTTCCTCATTCATTTTCTGTTTCCTTGTTATTTTTCCGCATTGCTATAATTTTCATAATCTGTCAAAACTTTCTTGTTTTCATATTTCCGATTTTACTAATCATTTTTCAGTGATTTATATGTCTAAATTGCATTTTAGAATGTCATATTTCATCACGTCGTGGAATCGTGCAATTATGAAATTTGCAGAGTAAGATACAATTGATCTAAACACTATCGTTAAGTTTGTGCACGATTTCACATCAATGAGACTCCAAGATCTTTATGTTTTATGGTATGTAGTTTTCTTGAATTGTGAATTTTAGAAAAACTACATACATCTTAGATCTTACAATATGAGCCCTACAATATAAACTGCATGTCATTGTGGGTCAAGGGTTGAACAATAAATTTGTCTCAAGCCATTGAGATGAAGTGACGATGAAGTTTACCAATCAACAGTATCAAGAACAGTTGTGATGAACAGTTATGTGAACAATTGCGATCTGGATGAATAGTATTAGTAGAGTACAAGTCCAAATCAGTGGGTACAATGAAGACAATCCAAACCTCTTAAAAAAAATCAGGAGGAAACTGAAAAATAATTTTGTTTCTAACATTGATTATTACAAAATGGTGAAAATCACTCCCATATACTTTATGGTAATGGCATAGAACTTTCTTAACAGTGAGAAAACCCCTTGACATGAAAAGTGGTAGCACCCAGCACCCGTCAAGTTATCACCAATCATTTAGAGTTATTTCCACTCCTCAAAATAAATAACCAATAAGTCCCTTTATTTTAGTTAAATTACTTATAGAAAAAACCTTCTTCTCTCTTAAGAGGTGTTTTACAATGTCCGTGGGGCACAAAGATGTCGAGCAATAATGCTTCATGCAAAACCCGTTAATGATTCAACCGTAGCTTATGTTAAAGATCCCACAAAAGTATTCTCTTATTATGGGAAGCCTTCTATAAGAATCTGAAGATCATTGGTGCTCACATTGTAACAAACATGATTCAAAGTGCATAGGAAGGAAAAAGTTCAAAGTCGCATTGGAGGACTCAATTTCAAGGGTAACTCGGGAACATACCATTCAAAGAACATCTAACTCAGAAATTTAGGACCATATCCAATTCCTCTTGGTAAAGAAAATTTTTAGCACCTAGCAAATGCTAGCATGAAGGTCTGGGAGGTGGGAGCTCTAATGGACTTTTTATAGCAAGACCTTTTGGCAACTCTCTAACCATGACTCGAAATATATAGTTATAGCTTAACTGGATTGAAAAATCTAGTGTTATTGACTATAGATGTGCGTGTTACCATACAAGTTACATTGCATTTTATTTGTATTTTGGGTTATATTAATTGTGTTCCACACTTTTGACACTATTGATTTGTTCGTAAAAACGTGTTTTATGTCTATCTTTCAATCAAACCTAATCTTAATCCTTGTTTTAAAATCAATAAATTAGGCTTTTGCATTTATGTAAATATGCAGTTTTGGCATTTCACATGTAACATCATTAGTAATGTTTGTTGACGTGGATGACAGTGACATCAGGAACTAATTCCAACACATTAAAAGCTTTTGATTTTGAGTATTCATCAATTTTAAAGTACAAGACTATCTACCATGTTCTTTGGTATCATGTTAATGGATAATAGTTACATTAGCATCTAACTGATTTGACAAACAGCAACAAACACTATTGAAAGCCGATATATATAAACAAGCTTAAACAGAAATTATACTGAGCTAAAGCACCAAAAACAGTCAACAGATATACAGACACCCAAAAACTAATACATAGCTGTGAGCCAATTTTAAGGTGGGATCATCAGTATCAACCTCAAACAAATCAAAGATAAAAGTTATGAGGACAAAATCTTAGTGCCATTGACTCCTCCCCACACCTGTGTCAGTTCAACCATCAATCGCCACCCACTTGCCTCTTCCAGGAGTCTTCCACAATCAGTTCATCAACTCCCCAATCTTCATAGCTGGAGAATTTCGCCAAAGATGATAGCAGTCAGTGTGACATTAAGAATGGAATCCTTGACCCCACCCCAAAGAACAAAATGTCTCTCACTTATATAAGGGGCAGAATTTACCTTCCATCAGGCAAGTAGCGCCGGATAGTAAAGGGTATTTTCCGCTCTCGAAGCTCCTTCATGGCAATCTGTTCAAGTTGGGACAACAAAATATCGGACATTATAAACCAGAGCTAAGTGCTAACCAAAAATACATGTATCCCGGAATCCTAACACAAATTGTGAGAACTGTCAACAACAAATAATAAAAATTACAGAACAGGTAGGAAATAAAACTAAGGATAATTGGTATTAAAAAAGAAAAGTTCAAAATGACGTTGAATGAAAGTAAACAAGCTCAAGAAGCTAGCAGCAACACAGGTAATATTGGACATGGCTCTTATCAGCACACAAAATGCAGAGACTATCAGTGTGTTTGTTTTACCATATGAATATCAATCAACGGGTTTTTTACACTTTCCAAAGCAGAAATGTAGAAGCAAGGAAGGGATGAATTAACGTTCAGTTTCATCCGACATGAAAACAAACACACGCTATATAATCAACTTATTCCTAGAATGGAGTGCAGAGAGCACATTGCATTCTCCAGGACACCAAAGAACTTGAGAATCAAATAACATTAAACAATAACAAATCACTTTTTCAATAATAAATAAACATTTAACCAGATTCAACATTTGAAGACTGAAGCAGTGCATAGAACCTATCAGTTAAGCTCAATAATGACGACAACCTTTACTTGGACAAAAAAAAAAGTTTCATGACATTGTTGGAATATTAAAAAAAGCCTGCCATTGAAAAACTAAATTACAAACCAAGTTAGGTTATGCCAAGAGCCGTTTTTCAAGGGAGCCAGAGACAAAGGAAAGCAAGCTATGATGAGGAAAGTAATCTACGAGCTGATAAAAGGAATCTCTATTAATTATTCCACCTACTTTTAGGATTAACATATTTTTTATGTAAATTAATCTTCCCATCTTAGGAATCTCTATTAATTAAAAGGAATATATGAAAAGACAGAATTCCATCTTTCATCCATGATTTATCTGCATATTTGTACAATTGCAGAATTATACATCAGTAGTGTGCATGCAATGGCACAACATTTAATTAAGGAATCAGTAGATCACTAAAGTGGTAAAAGTGAAAGATTTTTTAATGAAATATTTTCTACACTTGATAGAACAGCATATGGAGATACCACAGTTATTCGGAAATCTGAAACTGGCATAATAAGTTTGGCAATAGAATACCCACATTGTACTCAAACAAATTAACATCATAAGAATTGAAGTATCAAATTGCAAAGAGAACAAACGGTTCCATTACCTCAAGTGGGTCAGTTTCCCCTTCCAACTCTACCATGACAGGTGCATTCATACTGCTCAGCAAGAAAGGTAACATGTTACAAATAATCAACAAGCGGAATCCTAGGTTCACGCTCACGAAGTTCCAAAGAAAACCTGATTTGTAGGGCGCGAGTACCCAAAATCCTGGCACGCTCATACTTGGTCATATATTTCGATGTCTTCCGAGGCCGCTCTACTGGTTGCTCCTCTTCCTTTTCCACAGTTTCAAGAGGGTCTCCAGTTGCGTCATCATTTTTGTTGTTATCCAGCTCCTCTTCTGCTCCTTCCTGCATCAATCAATCCAACAGTAATTCCATTATTTCATTCATCACTAAGCTCCATAGCACATGTTCATGCAAAATAAAAAGAAAACACACAAGGCGGAGAATTTTGTACCTCAATCTCAGGCTCTTGTGGCTCATCCTCATACCTGCACCACCATCCTTTATTCCATGAGAAATCATTCAATGGAAATAGACAAATTACAAAACGCAGGGCTCTAACCCTGTTGATTGAAGCATGAAGTGTAATTGTTAATGAATGTTTGAATGAAAAGGGGAAACATGATCATACCCAGTGGAGAAATATTTGAAAAGTTTTTTTACTGTGCTTTAATATTCAAATACAGAAACAAAAATAAAAATACTTAAAAAACTCTCATCTGGATTTCCAGCATAGGTTTTCAATAGGTAAATTAAATTTGGCAAAACCCTAATTTGTGTATCAGTGTTAGAGAGAGAATGAGAGAGAGAGAGAGAAAGAACCCCATGTCCATGTCATCATAGTCATCATCAGCCATCACGATTGCAGAAATATAGCCTGTCTCTGAGCTTAAACCCGCTGTCTATGCCCTAAAAACCTTCACAGATAGACAATGAAGAATCAGAGACTTCGATTTTAAACGTGCTAATGGTAGCTTGTCTATCTTAGCAAAAAGCACCGAATAATTAGAAGAAACTAGCAAGCATGACATATCCAGAACGTAATAAAATTACTACAAATCTTCTGAATAAAAAATACGACAACTTATCCAGATAAAAAAAAAAAAAAAATACAATGCGAGTAAAAAGGAGGAAATTCAAGTCCCAAATTCACCACCTTATAACATACATATAAATACATTATAATTTTTAATAACAGGGCACAATGAAAAAAACAAAAAAGAATAGAAAGGACAGTATTGACAACAGAGTACCCGTCATGTGTGAGCCTAAGGTTCCGCTAAAGTATGTTATGATTATCTAAACAAAAAAATAAAGGTATTTATTTTAGGCAAATCCAGTGTTGTCTACGGATGAAAAATTGACCTACCCTAAATCCTCTCATAAAATGCAGTATAGCAAATTTAAACAGTAGTAATTAGGGTTTAGTAGAGCAAATGAAGAAGGGGAGGGAGAAGTCAGAACTCAGAACTCACGTTGATTGTGAGAAGAGAGGGGAGCGAGTTGAAAACGGAAGCAGAGAAACTCAGAAACCCTAGAAGAAAGAATGTGGGAAAAAATAGACACTAGTACCACCATAAATCGGTTGGGTTCGCCAGACTTTAAATGGATCCGATATGTAACCTCATCAAAATTTATCCGGTTGAATTAGATAATTTTTAAAAAAAATTAAATATTTCTAAATAAATATAAATTGTTTGATACATTATTTTAAATATAATATTATTAAATTATAAAATAAATGATAAAAAATTTAAATTTTAAAATAAATTTATTAATTTATTATAGGCTTAAATATGTTTTTAGTCTCTCAAATTTAAGACAAATTTGTTTTTGGTTCCTCAAATTTAAAACTGTTGTTTTTAGTCCCTATAATTTTTAAAAGTCTTGTTTTAGTCCTTTAGATCACCAATAACATATTTGAAAGTAACTAATTAAGACAGTTATGTAATATTAACCGGATTTAATATGATATTTTCATTAATAGAAACACTAATAAGTAGATTTTATGTAATAATATTTGATAAATTTTTTAACAAAATTTGAATATAAGGATAAAAATAAGTTTATTATATTATTATCAACTCAAAAATCAATATTGATTAATACAAAAATAAAATTTAAAATAAATATATTATATTATTATAATAATATTAACCTAAAACACAAAATTTATTACTAAATAAGAGTAATAATGAGTATTGTTATGAACAAATGATCATTCAAACATTATTATTATTATATATGGTCAGATCGAATCAAATAATAGGTTGAAAAAATAAAATATGTTACATGACTTATACAATGTTGGATTGGAATAGATCTATTTCAAAAACTAAAAAAAATCAAATCCAAACTCATTAAATTAATTTGGATCAGTTCGGATCATGATTATCTGTATTCACTTACACCATTAGACACTAGTATTAAATATTTTTTATGCACCATTTTGTATGGAGTATTGATTAATCTTCCTCATACAAATTTCAAGAATTATATTAAATATTTTGTAAAATTAACCCAAAAAACTATTTTTTAAAGATTGCTCTTAGAAATTACAAGTATTTTAATTCTTTTTCATTAATGCTAGTATTTTCATAATTTATTATTTTTATTTTGTTTAATCTATTAATTTTATTCCTGTTTTCAAATTAAATTTCAATATTTTTACAAAATATACTGCTAGTTAAAATAATTTTCATTGTTGCATAAATGATTTGTTATATATCTAAATTTATAGGATAAAAATATATTTATTTATTTATTATAAATTTTAAATATAATATAATTTGTATATTTGAAACTATTTATTTATTATGAATTTTAATTATATAAAATAAAAGTTTATAATAGTCCTTTTAAATTTTAGTTATATAAAATAGGAATATATAATATTTCTTTTGGCTTAAGTATGTTTTTAGTCTCTCAAATTTAAGATAAATTTGTTTTTAGTCCCTCAAATTTGAAACTGTTGTTTTTAGTCTTTGAAATTTTCAAAAATCTTGTTTTAGTCCCTTCAATCATAAATAACATATTTCAAAGTGACAAATTAAGATGATTAAACAATATTAATTGGATTTAATGTGATATTTTTACTAATTGGTAGATTTTATGCTATAATATTTGATAAATTTGAATGTAAAGACTAAAATAAGATTTTTTAAAATTACAGTGACTAAAACTAATAATTTTAAATTTGAGAAATCAAAAATAAATTTATTCTAAATTGAAATGACTAAAAACATATTTAAGTCAATTTCTTTTTATTTAATGAAATAAAATACGAGCACTAAAAAAAGTTAGCACACTTAGCTCGACTAAATAAGCTCATGATAAATAAAAATTAATCCTGTACATTTTTTGGGTTTATAATTTATCTAATCTTGTATGCAGACTAAACTTTTAAAGTGTTATAAAGGACAAAAAAAAATATAGAAAAATATTGACAACGATCTATTTTTAGTATTCTTTATATTGTTATCTTAACTCTTAAAAATTATAAATTTTAAATAGGTCTCACTTTTAAATCAAAATATCCATTAAATAATAAATAAGACTTATTAAAATTTATAATAACTATTTTATTATGTACAATATACACGTTGAGTTTTATTATATATAGTTAAAATTTATAATAAATTAAATATAAAAATAAAATAATATTTAAATATATAAATTATATTTATAATTTGTATAAATACATATTTATAAGTATATAAATAAATTATATACTAGATTTATGAGAAATGATTTATATTGTTATAAAAAATTATTTTTAATTAATAATAATTTATTTTTAAAATATTTACATAAATATGATTGAAAAATTAAATTAAATAAGTGGTTAAATGAATCCTTATAAACACTCAAAGTCCCTTCAAATGCTCTTATTGAAGAAAAAACCTAGATAATTTCACTCAAGATAATTTTCGGTATTTAACATATACAAATGTAATTATTTGTTTTTTTAACAAATTTTAACTTATAATAAAAAATGTTAAAAATATCGCTAGCATTCTTCACATTTATATAAAACTCTAAAAATTAATCTCATTAAGAAATAGTTTTTAAAAATATTCTCACTGAATATAATTATATTTTTTATAGAGAGAAATATTACATTTGTGTTAAAAAATGTTAACAGAAAATTTAGTTTGCATGTTAAAAACATTTCTACATGTTTCAGCTTTTTTATTGGTTTGACGACTTCAAAATAATTTGGTTCAGTTTTGAACTCTTCCCTTGTGCTAATATACAGAGTTTTGCTCTCCAATAAAAAAAAGTTTCAGAGTTTGTAAAAAGAGAGAATGATTACCATCATCCAAATGCTTAGTGCCACCAGTATTATTCGTATCGCAAAAATAAAATAATTAGGACTCTGGATTATACGTCTTACATCTCTTATTCGTGCAATTCATCTTCCTAAATGTTTCAGAAAATCCCATCTTAAATCTAAAGGAAAGAAATGAGTGTTATTTAATGTTTGACATGATTAGGGAGTGTTACATTGAGGCAGCAATGGTCACGTTGAGACGTACGTGAAAACCATTATGAAGTTCGTCATTATTAGCATCATGTTTTCAAGATTTCGAATGGCAAAATCCGGAACTTCATTCCACAACAAAAATTTGCTTGCTATTCCCGTTATGTTTTCTTTCTTGCTAAACGCACAAAATTTTATTTTACCCATTTGAAATCATGCCCTGCAGTTGATACGTGGTTTTTCTGAATTCGCACTTGATTTTTTTGGTAATTAGCAAAGTTGGAAGTTGTCACATAAAAAAGTTTTTCGTTGATTATAAATTTAGCAGGCAGTGGATAAAACACGTTCCAATAAACACACGAACACACTGCATGTTTATTATTAATTAGGGGAACAACCCTCTTAAACATGACGAGTTCTCCATCCTATAGTTAACAAGGTTCAACCACAGTACATATCTGATATTCAGATACCTCATAAGTTAGAACTACTTCAAGCATTCACCTTAGGGGCCCATCCAGCAATAACATATTCCTTTGCAGCCTTGGTTTTCTCAAATGATTCCCGGGAGAAGAGCAGCTGTACCAGAATATAATTTTCCATTAACAAACTAAATCATTTACAGCTGCACTATTCAAACCAGCAATTACAATTGCTCAAGTCTAAATTGTAAGAAAGGTTTTTAACTCTGACTGACCAAGGAAATCAGGTGAACTCATGAGACTTCAGTAACTTTTGAGTTAAAGTTTTCAAACTTCAAGCATATAAGGTTTAGTTTCAGTTTATAATATGCTCCAATTAGCCCATTTAAGGGCTGTGTAGTAGCAATATATGAAATCAGTCAAATATGCACTTCAAATTTTAGATACAGATGAATGTCACGAAAGAGGCATTAGTAATAAATCTAGGACACCAACTTCTTTCATGACAGTTCTCAAGCAACCCTCAATTTGATCTGCTATGATTTTTTGCTTGTTATTTTTGTTTCTTGAGAGATTGCCTATAATTAAATTTTTTTCATTGAGTGACATCAATTCAGTTTGAATAAATAGTACATCTTGATGACAAAAATCATTCAATAATTAAATTCTTGTACTAATCTTTTAAGGATCAAATTGATGTTTCAAATATTATTTGAGGAGAAAATTAGAGATTTACGTTACTCAATGCAGGATCAATTCACAAGAGAAAAATAGATTGCCTTTTGTGTGCACTGTAGGCCGTAGCACAGTATTTTTGTCATGCACAATCAGGATTAGACTTCTTTATTGGTAAACAAGTTTTTTCTTAAACCAAAAGACCAGTCTTTTCCAATTGCGTTTACTTCTTTACTTTAGTCTTTTTTCTTTTCAGACGGTTTATGGTGACTTCAAGGCATAAAAAAGTAGTATATAATAAATAACTGATACTTGAGTCGTTTTAAAGAAATTTTAAGCATATTGGGATGACAAGTTTGACCACAGAAAATTTTCATCACCAAATACCAATCAATGTCACTGTTCAATAGCAAAGCAAAAGACACACCTAAGTAAATTCCAAAAGAGTACATGCATCGCAGAAAACAACCGCATACCTTGGTGTAGTTGTGGACATGTGCCAAACTTTCAGGAACACTCCAACTCTTGAAGTGGCCAAGTGTTATCACTAGATGGTACAGTTTTGGTGCCAAACTCAGATCAACAGCAGTGACTTTCTCCCCAGCAACATAAGGACCCTGACCATGCCACCAGCATATTAGCAACGATAATTAGCCATTACAAAAAAAATAATAATAATAATTAACAAAAATAAAATTAGTTTATTATAAATTCACATATGTACGTGGGCCTTAAGATGGTCATCCAAAGCACTCAATTCAGAAACCAAAGCTTGCTCTGTTCCATCATTTGAATCCTTGCTCTTCAGAAAAGACACAAAAGACCCAAATATCTTTGATCCCCTGCAAATGTATACATATTGTGTAAAGTCAAATTCAGTACTGAAGAACAACTCTCAATTCAAATAATATATCCTAAAAAGATTAGAACAAGGAATTAAGCTAAGGACAAAGAACCCTTATTTTTTCTAACCAGAATGAATGAACAGCAGTTCACATAACCACAAATAATAACCCCACTCACCCACCCAAAAAAAAAAAAAACACTCAAAGGGTTATGACTGTTATAAATGTTATAAACAGAGCATCAAATAAAATTGAATATAGACACAGCATTCTCCTGAAAACCATTTCACAAAGGTAAAGTCAATAGTGATACCACCACCAAGGGTGACAGCATTTTGAGTTGTGAGTACAACAAGGACCATTTTGTTTCACAGATTCAATGCTCCCACCGGTTCAAATTTCAAAATCAGTTACATTTAACATCACTGTGTGAACACAAAAGAAACAGAATAGAAAATATTCCTATAAAGGAGGAAAAAGTAAAGCTAGAAATGAAAAAGAAGAAAGGGTGATGGAAAAGTCTCATACACAGAGGCAAATTCAGGAGGAGTGAGGAGAGAAGGTTGTGGGTACTTCTCCTCAAGTATCCCCACAATTACATCAGAATCAGCCACCCATTTGCCATCAAACTGAACCACTGGCACCTTCCCTTCAGGGTTAACACCCAAAAACCTAACAATAACCAAAAACAATAAAATTGATACTATTATCACAGCGCGTAAGAGACACGCAATAAGAACAACGCACGTAAAGGTTCAACGAAATACCATTCGGGTTTATTACTAAGATCGATGAGGTGGAGTTTGTAAGAGACTTTCTTCTCCTCTAGAGTTAAGAGAACCCTTTGGGAAAATGGACCTAAAACCGAAATCAAACCCAGAAATAATAAAAACAAATAATCAAGAAAAAGACACATTTTTAGTGACAGAAAGAGAGAGAGAGAGAAAGAAACAAACAGTCTCCGAGAATGTTCGGAGCACCAACAGCGGCCTTGACAGCAACCTCGAGAGCCATTTTTGATGAACGGACACTGAACAAAACAATGTCGAACCACGGTTCTGATCTGCTCGCTTCACACCTTTTTATTACACCATTTTTCACCTTCTCATCTTCTTTCCCACTATTTAATGCACTTAATAATAACATCTTATCTTATTTTATTTATGTTCAAATATTAAAATATTTGTTTTTTTATCTGACGACTTCTACCACGGTCCCATTGCAAATATATATGGTCCACCATGATCTATTAATAAGTCATTACAAGTTTTTTTTTCTATAACTTAATTTTTTAAAATTAATATATAAAATAATTTGATATTGAACATGAGTTATTAAATAAAATAAGTTTATGTTAATTTATTCTTAAAATAAACAAATTCCTCCTTTTATATATATATATATGTTAATAAATAATGAATTAATCACTTATACATTGTTAGTGTAAAGTTTTTTTCACACTAGCAATCAATTATATCTTTTAATTGTGTCATGTCACTATAAACACATTTACTTTAAACAGTAACATGGTATAATTAAAAAATATAATTAGTTGTTAGTATAAAAAAGACTTTTACACTAACAATATATAATTGATTAACTCATAAATAATATGTAAGATAAAATTGAAAAAACAAATCTAATGCATGTAGCGTAGATGTTATTATTCTAGTACATATATCTATTTATAGATAACAAACACATATCATTCTATATAAATAAATCAACCTTTAAATAAATATAAACATATATCTTACACAATAATATTTTTAAGAATTTCTCTTTTTCTTTTATTTTTTATTTAATTTATTTATTATTTATTATAAGTATTTACTAATTAAATTTAAATATTTTTAAAATAAAATTATAATAAATAATATTATACTATAATATAAATTATTTACTATAAATTTATGATTCATTTGAATTCCACTATCATGATGGATAAAAATATTATTTAACGCAATTCAACGAAAACAATTATTATATATTAATCTATATTAAACAAACATTACTAATTTTTTGGAATAGTAATAATATTTCATCTCCATATACAAATTCTCTCGCATGGATACACGGACCAGTAATAATTAATAAGTTAATTATCTGTATACTATCAGTGTAAAAAAATGACAACCAATTATATCTTTTAATTATATTATGTCACTGTTAAAAATAAATATGTTTATAGTAACATAATACAATTAAAATATATAATTAATTGACAGTGTAAAAAATTATACACGAACAATATATAGATGATTAACTCATAATTAATTCACATACAAACTTTATATTACTTTCTTATTCAACGTATATCAAACTTTATACTGATGAAAAAAGAACATCAGACTTAATTTTTCATCCCTTTTCTATTCCATTTCAAGAGGGAAATAAAAACGGTTTTTTATGACTAAGAATCGATAGAGGTGAAAAGGAGCATTCCCGAGTGTTCGTTTTCATTTTAAAAAAAAGTTTTTTGACTTTGTTTTTATTGAAGCAGGCTAAGAAACACATAAAAAGTTTGTTGACTTTGTAAAGTTAATTAAAGTGTACGCATGTGGACTAGATTTAGTCTTAAAACAAAAATAATCTAACAAAAATTAGTTCATTTTTGTTTACTTCTGATTTAAAAAATAATAAATTTGAATTAAATTACTATCATGACGAATGGATTGGTTCCGTTTGAATTATAAATTTTCATCAGCATTATTAATTTATTATCCAGAATATTTTATAATTGTCCGGGGAAAATGAAATTATGTTGAGAAAAATAGTAATACTAGTGATTGAAAAAAAGAATGACATTAATGATACTGTTCAATTGATCCCAACCAACAACATGAATATGACCTCATATTTGGCTACATTCATTATATTCGTCACATCCCATATTATTATTAGTAGTAACATCAACGGTGACCTATTTGGTACAAAAAAAAAAAAAAAAACAATTGTGAAAGATTTTGTACGAACTTAATGATTTTATTAAGGCTAAAATAATATTTTGGTCCCTTATAATAATTGTTTGTTTTAATTTTGTTTCATTTTTATTTTTTGTTTTAATTTGGTTCCTAATAAATTAATTGGTTGCAATGTTGGACTGCTGTCCAAATTATTTAAACGGAGTTAACTATTGATTACGTAGATGCATAGGTGGATGTCACGTGAATGCCAAATTTTTTGAAAACACCTGAAATCAGAACGGGTTGTTCTGGTTCCAGACTGCTAAACACAAACGGTCAATGATTATAGTTCACGATTGTGAATCGTGGAAGGAAAAAGACCCAATGTACAAACCATTTCAAATACTGGATTTGTTAATATTGACAATGAAAATTGATAACTTCAATTGCTAAACAGTTGGGCTATACAATGTATCATTAAGGACAATACAGTGTATCACTAAAGACAATGGTAGCAGATTTTATTTCATTGTTAGTCAAACTGGAGTGAATCACTTACTACCAAATTGATACTATACAGTAAATGATGAAATGACATGGTATTTTTCCTTAAAGTTATTAACGATGAACCCCAAAAACAACAACCTATTCTTGAATAAGTAAAACTTGAAGTAGAGGAAAAGGATACACAAGACTAACATTTCACCACACAACTACATGCAGGGACGGATCTAAGTTAATCATAGTGGGGACACTTGCCCCCACAAAAACTTTTTTCATTCTTTTTTTTATATATAAAATATTAATAATTTTATAAAATATATATTATTAATTATATTTTAATTATGTTGTTATATCTAATATAATAAATACATTAATATTTTTATATTTTATTTTATTGTTTAATTGTTTTTTATTTTGTGGTAAAATTATCTTCATTTTTAATGAAGAAAAAATTTACTTACTTCAAGAGTAAGTCTTGATAGATTTATTCTACTTAATAATTAATGTTCTATATCAAATTTTTAAAAATTTAATTGTTAAATTAAAAAGTTTTTCATGTATAGATCAAATTTATAAAAAAATTTAAAAAATTAAAAATCATATGATACTTCGTTAAATTAATTCAAATTAACATATAAAATATTTTTGTTTTAAATGAGTGTAAAAATTTAGAGGACACTAAAAGAAAACAAATTAATAATTTTATTATGTTTATCCTATTAATTTTTATCATTTTATTCCTCTAATTTTAAATAAGTTGCAAAAAATTATAAAGTGACACTTAAATATTTCTTCAGACAGAAAGAGAAAAAGGAAAAGTTATCACTCTATTTATAAGACAATTGTATTTTATAAAAATAAGTAATTTTAAAATTTTTACCATAAAAAAAATATTTTTCAAAATTATTATATTTTTTAATAAAATTAATATATAATATTTTATTGTTCTCACTTAACAAGTTGGCGTTCTGGAATGGGCCGTTCCGAATCCATAACGGCTCATTCTGAAACCATAACGGGTGCACTCTTGGTGTGTTAATTTTGCATCTGAAACAGGTATTTCCAAATGCAAAATTAACACACCACCAGTACATCAGAACGGTCCGTTCTAAAATCATAACGGCCCGTTCTGGTTCCAGGTGTTTTTAAGCGATTTGGAATCTACGTGGCATCCACCTATGCATCTACATGGCCAACAGTTAACTCCGTTTAAATAATTTGGAAGGAAGTCCGACTTTGCAACTAATTAATTTATTAGGAACCAAATTGAGACAAAAAATAAAAGTGAAACTAAATTGAAACAAACAATTATTATAAGGGACCAAAATAGATTTTTAACCTTTTATTAACAAATTTTATAAAGATTCAATGATTTGAAGAAAAAAAATTATGAGGTTTTTTTTAACAAGATTTTGCAAGATAGATTCTAATAGATTTGTATATTAAGAATTTAAAAGATTTGAAATAATTTTGTTAGCTTTCAAAGGATAATATGAGTTTTTAAAAAATAATGTAATTTATTAAAAATGTGATATTATAATATTAAAAAAAGTTTAAAATAAAAAATTGTTTAATTTTAATAACTTAAAATTTTAACAATATATAATATTTAATAACTCAAAAGTAATCTTAAATATTAATAATTAAAAAATAAATATTAATAAATTATATATCAATATTGATAAAAATATATAAAAAAACTTTGATGGATAAAGAAAAATAAGAAAAAGAACAGAGAAAAAAAAATAAATAAATGAGAGATAAATAAATAAATAAAAATATGATAATAGGAAAAAGAGTATGATACAGGGAGGGAGAGAGAAAAGAGAAGATAAGAGAGAGAAAGGGGGGCAAAGGATGAAGTAAAAAACGTAAACAAAAAATAAGAAAAATAAATGAGAAAAATTATTGAAAAATTCAATAATTTTGGTAATATTGTTGAATGAATAAATTATATATAAATTTTATTAAATTTTTTTTTATAGAAATTTAATTAATAAAATAGTTAATTAAAATCTCAATATTTTTGAACACTAATAAAAGATTTTAAGCGAAAAAAGTCTTAATTAAATACTACTAAATTTTAAAATAATTCTAAAAGATAATAGTTATTTTAATTAAATATTATCAAATTTTAACATATTTTTAAAAAATCTTAATTATCTTAATTAAGTATCACATATTTTTTATATTAAAAAATATTAATTAAATATGATAATTTTTTTTATAATTTCAATATAATATCCTCCTTAATATGTATAATATTTTATTAAACCTAAATATTATTATATTATTATACAATATTAATTATCTAAAATTCCAATCGAATACATTTTCTTAATCTTTTAAATATTTTGAAATTTCAAACCAAAACAATAATGAAAAAGTTTTAATCGGTTTAGTACGTACAATATTTTATTAAATCCAAATATTATTATACAACAGTAGTTATTTGATTTAAGAAAGAAAATAAACAAAGAGAAAGAGAGAGAGAAATAAAAGGAAAAAAAATTAAGATAATTTTAACTGCTGTCTGTTGATTACTAAAAAAGGAAAATATGATGCGTTTTTCCATTCAACACGTCCTTCCGTTTCAAAGAGACCCTACAGAAACTTTCTATTGAAATGGTATTTATGAATACAAAAAAAAAAAAAAAGGAAAAAGAAGTGAATATGATATTTTAATTTAGAATTGAATGGTGTCACATTGACAATATGAAATAATTATTCAATTAAATAATGAAATAATCAAAATTAAATTAAATGATGAAATAATAAAATTAACGTGCTGATGATGCTTGGGGTGTCCTGTCCCTTAGATCTTGGTTCTTTTTTATGTCTTTTTGTATTTCTTTGCTCACATAAGTTCATAACCAAAAAAACAAATAATGTAATTTTTTAGACATAGCTTTAATAATATTTGTTGATTTAAAATTAATTCTATTAAAAGTAATGTTATAAAAATCTAAATTAATTTGGCATAGTTTTAGTAAATAAGTAATTTTATAACTTGTCAAGAAAAAAGCAATTTTATGATGAATTTTTATATTGAATGCTCTATACGTGAATATATTCTCGAAGCTCTCATCAGTGCTTTGTTAGCGAATTTTGTGCAACTTTTTTCCTTTAAATACTTAAATAATTAATGCAAGATTGTTTAATGTTCTGAAGTGGTGGTCTCCATTTAAAAAAAAAAAAAAAAAGAGAGGAGAGAATGAAGAGAGAGAGAAAATGTTTTTTTTTAAGAGATAAATATATCATTATTAAATTTATTGTTTTGGAAAAATTCAATTTATTATTAAAAATTGAATATTGTTTTTAATATAAAATATTTTGTTTAATAAAAATACAGAACTTCCTTTTACCTGACTATACTTATAAAAACTAGATAGAAACCCATTTTAATAACTTATATAATATAAACGTTTTGCTAAACTCATTTTAATAGATTAAAGTTGAATCAAATGATATATAGAATTAAAAACTAACAATTATATTGGAGACTAATAATTTTAACTTATATTTATTTTTATTTATATGAATAAAATATAATAGAGATAATTATCATAAAATCAAAAGGAGTCGAAAAAAAAAATGAATATACTATAAATGAGAATATATATATATAT